CAAAAAAAAAAAAAAAATAGCCCAGGTGTTGCAGGGAGCACCTGTAGTCCCAGCTACTTGGGAGGCTGAGGCAAGAGGATCGCTTAAGCCCAAGAGTTTGAGGTTGCTGTGAGGGGTGATGCCACAGGGCAACAGCTTGAGACTGTCTCAGAAAGGGAAAAAAAAGGAAATTAAAGAAGACATGTATATTTGGAAATAACTTCCATGCTCATAGATTGGAGGACTTCATATTGTTAGATGAGTAAACATTCAGTGCAATCCCTATCAAAACCCCAATGTGCTTTTCACAAATATAGACTCATCTTAAAATTCATATGGAATCTCAAGGGACCCTGAATAGCAAAAATGACCTAGAAATAGAAGACAAACTTGGAGAACTCACACTTCCTGCTTTCAAAAGTTTACTACAAAACTACAGTAATCAAAAAGGTGTGATACTGGCATAAAGAAAGACACATACACCAGTGAATAGAATAGAGAGTTCACAAATAAGCCCTCACATATATGTTCAACTGGTTTTCAATAGGGGCGTCAAGACAATTTGATTAAGAAAATAATTATCGGGTGGTGCCTCTGGCTCAGTGGGTAGGGCACCGTTCAAACCCAGTCCCGGTCAAACTGCAACAAAAAAATAGCCAGGTGTTGTGGTGGGCTCTTGTAGTCCCAGCTACTCGGGACGCTTAAGGCAAGAGAATCACCTAAGCCCAGGAGTTGGAGGTTGCTGTGAGCTGCGACACCACAGCACTCTACCAAGGATGACAAAGTGAAACTGTCTCTACCAAAAAAAAAAAAAAAGAAAATAATTATCTTTCTAACAAATGGTCCTAGGAAACTGGATATCCACCAGCAAAAAAATGAAATGAGACCTTTACCTCACATCATATAGAAAATCAACTCAAAATAGATCAAAGACTTTATAAGCTAAAACTGTAAGACTCTTAGAAGAAAACATAGGTGAAAATCTTCATCATCTTGGAGAAGGCAATGATTTCTTATGATACCAAAGGAACAGACAATGAAAGAAAAAATAAATAAAAATTTAACACATTAACTGCCATGTGAGTTTTATTTAACTTATGCTAACTTTGAGTTCAGGCCCTCAGGAAGCATATATAACACACAGATCCCTTGCTCATTGACTGTCTCACCAGAAAACAACTTTTTGCTTGGGGCCACGGTATTCTATTAGGTCCGGGACGTGTGTTATTTATGCTTCACAAAGCCCTGGGCTCAAAACTAGCTAAAAACAACTCACATGGCAGTTTGTGCTTGACCTAAGGAAACACTATGGCCCCAAGGAAAACCTGCTGGTGTGGCAGTCAGTGTGTCCAAAATGGGCACCTCCACAGTGCTCCTCCTCCATCGCTCGGAACTCTGCCAGCTGTATGGCTAGAGTCCCTGAACTCTCGCCTTTCCATCCCCTGCATCCATCACCATGGCAGGTGCAACAGTGGACACCAGCTCCAAGATCACCACCAAGGACTTAAAGGAGAAGAAGGAAGTTGTGGAGGAGGCAGAGAATGGAAGAGACCGGGCCTGCTAATGAGGAAAACAGGGAGCAGGAGGCTGACAATGAGGTAGATGAAGAAGAGGAAGAGGAGGGAGAAGATGGTGAAGAAGAGTTTGGAGATGAAGATGATGTTGATACCAAGAGGCAGAAGTCTGGCTCAGCGCCTATAGCTCAGCAGCTAGGGCACCAGCCGCATATACTGGGGCTGGCCAGGGCTTGTGGGTTCAAGCAGGGCCTGCCAAACAAAAATGACAATTACAACAACAACAAAAAAAGAAGAAGAAGAAGAAGAAGCTGGGCATTGTGGTGGGTGCCTGTAGTTCCAGCTACTTGGGAGGAGGCTAAGACTAGAGAATTGCTTGAGCCCAAGAATTTGAGGTTGCTGTGAGCTGCGATTCCATAGCACTCTACCAAGGGCAACATAGTGAGACTGTCTCAAAAAGAAAAAAAAAAAATGAAGAGAAAGTTCCAGAAATAGATAGTGGCAATACTTATACAACATTGTGAATGTATTTAATACCACTGAATTATATATTTAATAATGATTAAAGTATTATACTTAATGTCATATATGTTTTAGTACTTTTGATTACAACTTTAAAAAATACACATAACATAAAAAGAAAAATATGGAAGCATAAACAGGTGAATATATCAAATAAATATTAAGAAGGGTAAGGTGAGTGCCAGATCCCTCCCAGACGGAGCGCAGCCCACATGTACTTGGCACAAGTTTGAAAATCTCTGGGATAACAAAGGGGCCTCAGAGATGAATAGCGAAATGAAGCCTGGTCAGGAAATGGTGTTTCAAATTTTAGCTTGCAGTTTAGGAGGAAAGAGGATATTTTGACCTCATCTCATTCCATATACCAAGTAATTAAAAAAGATCAATGAGTCACTGAAGATTCTTGCTATATCACTGCAATGGCCACTGCTTGTACTTGACCTTTTAGTAACATTTCCTTTTTTGACCAGCCTCTTGAAATACATCCTTCCCTGGATGCCTATAGCATCACACTTCCTGGTTTTCTCCCTACTTCACTGGCCTTGAAGTAGAGGTGGGGAGGGAGGCTAGGGGACTAGATTTAGGAATTATTTGGAATAGAATTTGCTGAAGAACTGGATGTGGATTTTGAGAGCAAACAGTCAAGGATGACTCCTACATTTCTAGCCTGAGCAACTGGATTAATGGAGGAGTCATTTACTGAGATATGGGAGGAACAGGTTTGGGAGGCAAGGTGAAGAGTTCAGCTTCTGCTGTGTTTATTTTATTTA